TTTCTCTCAAACAAGTGCTACAGAAAAAGCACACATTACGACAGTCTTTTCCATGACTACACACAGAGCTCCTGCCTAAATGTCCTGGACACAACCAGTACAGTGTTTCTATAAGCACGCGCCTCACATTTTACACTTGGAGTCACTTTCTCAATCTATTTTTCCTCCCCTTCCCCCCTCGCCCTCCAGTAAATGGATTCTAGCTTCCCTATTAGTATACTGGCTGCCATTTTGTTTAGGGAGTAGGCCACACAGGAGTTTGTTTGGACCACTAGTTGCACCATTCTCTACAGTTTTCATGAACTGCTGCTGAGGTCAGGACCAAAAGAACCAAGCATCCCTGAGGTAATCGTTCAATGGACAAGAACTGGTAGAAGAGAACTACAAATAATTCCCTTTTAAGCAGAACCATGGTGTGGGTTCTAGAATGCTACCCAGGAGTCTGTTCCTTACAGCACAGGTCAGAAAAAAAACAAGAACCCATAAAGAACATCACAATCTCTCATCAACAACATTATTTATTTAACAGCATCTACCTGATACATCAGTTAGGAAGAGAGCAGGAATAGACAGCAAACCTTGCAAAAGATATATATTAAAAAAAAAAAAAAGTTTCAGTGACATCTCTCCTTTAGCAGTTTCCCCAGCTAAGATAGATAAAATGATGCAAGCAGTTCCGTGTTAAAGAACAAGATCCAGGAGCAACCCTCCCAGAAATAGCAGGGAAAGGAAAAGACTTGGGGGTTTTGTGATGGTTTTAAAAAACATGTTCAGAACAAATGCACTGTCCTTGGTAGGTTTGTTGAACCAAAGAAATATGAGGTACATTACAGGGGTGACCTTGCACTAAAAAGGTTGCCCGGAGAGGTCGTGGAGCCTCTATCCATGGAGATGCTTAATGCTCAGATCCTGTTCTGAGCAACAGGATCTCAGTGGCCCTACTTGCACAAGGGATTTAGACTAGATGATAACCAATCTTCCAATCTTGACCACACTGACAAAATAGCACCTGGCATGGAAGCGCAGAACTGAATTACTCCACGAGGAAAAAAATTGCACCCACTGACATTCATTGATGCTTGCTGAATATCTGGAGACCAAACAGTGGATGTGAGCATAACGAGATGGTGCGTGGTGTGTTTCAGCTGTGGAAACAGCAAGTCACCTCCTCTAGTGCAGATTTTTTATTTTTTTTTTTTAAACAAGTGCAGCACATAGGCTCTTCTTCATCACTGGTAAAAGTGCATGACTAATGGCAGTGACTGTTGAAAAATAGAGCAAATTCTCAGCTACAAAATACTATGAAGTAGTGCTCTTTGTATATGCTGCAGTTTCCACATTAATAGAAGGCATTACCTTTGGAGCAAGCTATGTATATACACGCATATGCAGTGTGTGTTTGTATATACAAATACATATTGTGTTTGTACATTTATAATGTTAGTGTAATATTATATATATATTTATTACTGCATTACGAACAGTAGCAGCCTTAGGCTCAACTACTTCATTTTACACAAGCAAATTTAAGGTAAACAACAGAGTCTAAAATGAGCTAACAGGTGTCTGTATACATAGTACATTTTTATTAAGAAAATCATATCAACTACGTGCAGATGGTTCTGTCCTTCCCTTCAGACATTCAAACCCTGCTTCTCTTAACAAAAGGAAGGAAGCAGTAGAATTCTCCTGTCTGTATGCACTACTCACTGACCCAAAGCCCAGAGGAGGTGCCTAATGAAACACTGCTCCACAGCATCCATGCAAGGTGATGTCTACCTAAGTGGTTGCAGTTTACTCCCAGGTGCCCACGTAGAAACAAAATGCATTCCTTCTGACGCAGAGGCCTGACAGGAGTTACTGCAAGGGGAGACAAGGCTGCTGCAGCACACTCTGGTTTAAGCACAGCCTGTGAGGTAATGTGAATTTCTTGGCTCATAGCAAACACCTGAATTCCTTGGAAACCACAGGAATCCAGCACAGAAAAGGTAAATATCCCAGTGGAGCCAGTGCTAATTAGGAAGCCAGGCTACCGAAGGAGGGGTTCTGTCATGGGGTGGTGGGAGCTCATGCAGCAGGAAGGCTGCTCGTGGCAGCACTGGGAAGCCCAGCTGCCACTCTGTCTCAAGTCAGCCTGGAAGGTTTCCCCCCCAGCTGCTGCTCCTTGGGGGCCTTTGCAAGAAGGCTTGGTTTTCAGCTCAGTGTTGCTTTTTTTTTTTTTTTTTTTAATTTCCTCATCTATTTTTCAATTTCAGTGTAAATGCGACTAACAAATTCCCACTGGATTAATGCCCTTCAAGCCACTCAGGCTCTAAAGTGTGGCTACCCAAATCTTGCAGTTTAGGCAAGGCAGCAGCTACGGAGAAGTATTCTGAAAACAGAGACATTTCACTATGAACTACTACCATGTGCCAAGGCCCACTCTTTCAGCAGGCACCAAGCAAGACAGGACCAGACTCCTTTCCATCTCACATGGAGATATCTAGGAAGAAGGGAAAAACCACATGGGAGGCTGAGAAGCATCCCACCCCTAGTTGGTAACATGGGCAAAGAGCAGCCCGTAATGTTGGAGGGAGCACTCCCTGTGTGCTCTTCACATGTACTTCAAGCACAATAGCATTGCTATTCTTTGAAGTATGCTCCTCCAAAAAACCACACAACCCACCAATTCAACAGCTGCCATAAGAACAGCCTTGGGGCTTCCACCTGCTAATGCCCACATCACTATTCCTTGGGTATGGTGAGTCACCTTTAAAAGCATTTTCTGAGGTCAGCCTCTAATTAAGACTCTAGTATATTAACACTTCACTTCCTATCCATACTAGAATTTAAAAGGTACAGCAATAAATGTATGTGATATTTTATCACATATTTTAAGAAGTCAGACAAAACAACCTAGGTTTTTAACATAAGATCAGATGATTGAGTTATACACTTGGGCAAACCTGGACTAAGCTTATCAAGAGTATCGTTCATTTTAGAATATATGCTTTAGCTGGTCAACTCACATCTATAGCTTCAATGCAATGCAGAGTTCTCCAGGCTGCCAAACACAAATGATCAATTTAGATGATGGCAAGACCAGAAAGGTTACATTGTAATGAAAAACTGAAACACAGAACCATTTGTGCTACCTTTCTTAATAAGTCTCCAGAAGTCTGATACCTGATGATTATCTAAGATTACGTAGCAAGTACTGTTTATTCTGTGGGAGAGAAAGTAGGGAAGTTGCTACAAAAGGAAGCTAACCTGGGCACTGGCAATATGCTTCTGGAAGATAAAGGACAAGAAGTTCTACAGTCAACATCTGCCAAAATATTGCCTTGAAAAAGAGAACTTAAACCACAGCAAATCAAGCTGTTATTCAGTATTTCAAGTACAAATCAACTAGCAAGAGCTGAAAGCTTTGCTGTATATCTCTGAGTATATAGCCTTCATATCTCCTTCAAAGGAAATGTTTTCTTCACTCTTTCACAGTCATCCAGGGTGGATCCATAACCCCTTTCCTCTTCTCGGCATTGAGGCCTCACGTTCCAGTCTAGATCACAACATGGCAAGTCTAGCTATGCCAAGAGAAGCCAAGCCTAGGGAAGTATCTAGTGAAATATCAAATCACAAACATACAACATCAAATCTGTCCCTTTGCAAGAAGATCATGCATCTTATGATTCTGATAGCACTTCTTTTCTAGTAGAGGTTACAATAGTAGTCAGTACTTCAGTTCCTGAAGTTGTCAGGTTCCTCTCATATTAGAAATATGCAAAGGCTAAGACTGGAGGGAAACATTACCTCTCAGACAAGCTAGAAGAAGGAAATAGGGGGGAAAAGAGCTTTTCAGAATAGCAACCCAGAAAGTGCCACTCCAACTATACTTCAAAGACTATGTATGCTTTCAGAAAGCAAAAATGATAGTTCACTATTGCAGGTCCCTAAAACAGATTGCTTTGTTCTATTGGTGGATTGCCCCTCAGATTTCTTTAATGCTGCCTTCTATACCAGGCCCAATACCTCCCTGCTCTCTGCTACATATTGCTTTCTCAAGCACTGTTTTTTTTCCTGAGTAAGAAGTAGCAACTAGGTTCCTCTGCCAAAGGTTAAGGCATTTCTGCCCCCACCTCACAGAAATTTAAATCAAAGCATTACACCACATGAGGCAACAAAGGGGTCTCTCCCAGCACTTAACACCACAGTGTTAAATGGTAGGCCAAGTGCTAAACAGGAAGCCAAAATCCAGTAGCACAGAGATCCTCACCTCCCACCAAGAATCTGAATTTGGAAATCCAGAGGATGGGAAAAATCACTAAAATTGAAGACCACTAGCGCCACCTGCAGGACATATAGAACAGCCCACATCAAGTTTCCTTTTGGGATGCAATAGAAAAAGGCATTTTTGGCAGATAAGCCTCCCTCCTCGGAATCTTAATTATCTATCTTAAATTCAAAAGAAAGTTGATATCTACCAGAGAAAGGACGGTAAATTAGCTAAGTTAATATATTTGATAGTGCAGAAAATACAAATGCTGACATAAAACTTAAAATACAATTTGAAAGTATTAAAACTGCAAAGATCAACACGTTTCTAAATGTTTTTTAATTTATCATTAAATAGAAACTGAAAAGGTTTCTCTTCACCTTGTATGCTCCTGTACTGAGAGGATGAAGAAGGGGCATGAAGAGTACAAAATGGATTCAAGAAGAATCTCATCTTTAGAATCAAAACTTCAATGATGGTATGTGGCCATTCCACTATCTAAAGTTGAAAACCTGCTTTATTACTTCTTCATGTAATAAAATCCCTCACTAAAGGCCCCCTAATCTATATAAAGAAAGCTCACTAGACAAAGTGCAATGAAATATAATCTACTTAAAAAAATGTTTGCAGAATGCCAGAAGTAGCACTTCCCTCTTATTCACCACTAGCTCAGAATTACAGAAGGAAGCCAACATGTCTGTTGATCACAGAGTGCATGTACACAGAGGAAAAGAAAAACTTCCCCTACCTGGCCAATCCTTCCTCATAGAGATAGATGACAAGTGGATCATAGGATGTAACCAGAACATACAGGCGCACATCAAATTTGAAATCTGAAATGAAGTTGTCAGAAATCAGTGACTGCAAATACCTTTCATATATCATAACTAGTTGAGAAAATACAACAGACTCTAAGAGCAGTGGGAGGAATAAACCATTACATGCTATTGACATATGATGCTTGAAGCCTTTCTAACTGAAAAGCTTCCCAATTTCAAGGAATTTTCCATTATTTTTTTTTTCCTCCTGGTACTAGTGTAAGATAGACGACTCAATCAACTAAATTCCTGCAAAGGTTGCAGAACTCTTCAGTTCCTAGAAACAAGAGTGCATGAAAGCAAGAGCAATTCTGAGGCATACTCACCATCTATGAGCAGGGGGTTGCTGATGTAACGAGAAACCAGGATGTTGTCTTCCAGTACAATCTGATTTGGCTACAAAAGAACAGAGAATCCAAGAGTGAGAAAACCAGGAGGCCCAATGAGTAACAAGATCACAAGATCAAACCTATCATTTTTCCAGCTCTCACCTTCTAAAACCACTTTGTATCAAGTGTTATGTCAGAGGGTGGGGGTAATATGACCATAAACACCTCCCCTTACAAAACAACAATGAAAAACTAACAATTGGTCACAAAACATTTTTGGTAATGAGATCCTAACAAGAAGCCTGAGAATGATTACATTAGAAAGACCACAGAGTCTTCCAGTGAAGTACTCCTTAGAGTGAACTGCGGGTTTAACAGCCCCATGGCAAAACAACAAAATAGGCAAGAGAAAGAAAATGAGAAATGGCTGCTGTTGTCTGTTTCCTAAGCACTTAACTAGACACATAGAAAAGGGATTTACTTAGAAGGCACTGGAAATAATAGGTTATTACTGCTAGTGAAAGTGTCACAGGTGATGAAAGTGACTCCTCAGCTTGTGATCTTTATGGCTAGTATCCAACCCTTTTGACTACGTGAGGAGATAGCTTCTACTGAGAATCAGCTCACAGCAGGGACTAAGGTATGACAAAGAAACTACCCTTGTAGGTAAGAACAGAAAGCTCTGTGTACAATAAAAATACATCACAAAGTCATGGGACAAGTTGAAAGACTTGTACAAAGCAAGGAGTAAAAGCTTTATCTCCTTGTAACCAGTTATACCTACTCATGGTAACAATTGCTTAAAAAACAGTTTCCAAGAGAAAACCGCATCACCCTGGCTTTATTCAGTGTTACAGGTATTCAGCTTTATCAGTGTAAGGAGCAGGAAACTTATGTATGTATTATATGGAGTGCATATATAAAGGAACAAACTCAAATTCCCTCAGCATATCACAAAAATGACAGTATGTTTACTATGGACCAGAGAAACTGAGAGTTTTGTTTGTTTTAAAAAACAAGCCACTGTGATAAGATTCTAGAAGACACTCCCTTAATGGAATCACAATGAAGGAAAATGAAGCCTTGGGCTAAGCTAGCCGAAATGTTTCTGGAACAGATTTACACAAAAGGAGACTGGTCCCAGAAAGAGGACTTTTTCCCAATTCATGGCCAACTGCCATAAAAGCCTGAGCTCATTCTTCTCTTTCAAGCAAAGAAAAAGCTGAGTGCAGCTCTGGAAATACTTACTTCATACACTTGGCAAATTATTCCTTTATTTTATGGGAAGGGATCCAGGTAGAGAACAGATGAAGCAGCATGACCCCTTCCGTGCAGGGGAGGCTAAAGGGGTTTGAGTGAGTGAAAACAAAATAACTCACCAGTCAGTTTTGCTGCTGAGAATATTTATTGGAATATCCTTGTGTATTCTGGCTCCTATCCAGATATATTTGTTACCTATGACAACCTAACCCCTGCAAAGTCCCAAAAAGGCAACATAACACTATGACCAACATACCAAATTCAAAGAATAATACTCTTTACACCTCAATTAAGGCACACTGGCATTTAGGTAACAAAACTCTTAAAACTGATACACATCCTACTGAATCACATATGGCTTCATTTTAGCTGGTCTTTTCCAGGGTTGAGAAGAGGACACTTTTTGAGGACTGTTTAGGTTACAAAGGGCAAATAACCAAAGAGAGTTCTGGGAATCTTCCTAAAGTCAGCCTACTATCAGACACAAAAGAAAGTATGAAGCAGCACAGTTTCCCATACTGTCTCAGGAAATACGAACTCACTGCTGGTAAGCTAAGACTCAAAAGCACCATACAGGCTGCAAGGTAAGTGCAGAGTACAAAGAAATAGCTTGCTTTTGATTACACAGCATAGACCAGGGCAAGCTATGCCAGATGCTCTGGACTGTTAGACTACACACCAATGCACTGTTGAAATCCAGAGCATGGCCATTGTCTGCTTAGCTGTTTCCATGCCCTTCACATGGAAGCTGACACAGTTTTGTAGACAGTGTTACTGAATAGTGGTGGTGATGCACTGGAACAGGTTGCCCAGAGAGGTTGTGGATGCCCCATCCCTGGAGACATTCAAGGCCAGGCTGGATGTGGTTCTAGGCAGCCTGGTCTAGTGATTGGCAACCCTGCCCACAGCAGGGGGGGTTGAAACTAGATGATCTTTGAGGTCCTTTCCAACCCAATCATTCCATGAATGACTCTATGAAAAGTAATCCTTTAGATAAGTACTTACATTGTTTATCAGGTAGACACCTCGACCCCTGGAAGAGGCCACAGGCTTCACTATCCATGGGCCTCTGTCCTTAGAATAGGTACCTGGTTAGAAGAAAACAGCATAAGTCTGAAACATCTTCCATTTTGCTTATTTACAGAGGAGTAAGAATGTTGCCTTCAATATGAGACTTCAAGAACTGCAGGAGGAGATCAATCAACTTTATTTTTATTCCTTAGGAATCACTGCAATTATTACTGACACTCTTCCTGCTCCGACAATACTCTTTTCTCTGACCTATAACTCATTTGTTGTTTCTCTTCTATACTCCCAGACACTAGTCAAGGATGCTATGAAGCCAATCATCAACATCGTGAACAAAGAAAACTCAATTCTGGAGCCCTAACCCTCAATCAGCTCCTTGAGAACTTACACAAGCATGGAACAGGCAGCAGAGTAAAAACAATACAAAGAAATCATGTGAGTTTTTCAACTGTCTTTCCAGTCTCATCAACCACTGAAGTGATCAACAAGCTAGAATACTCAAAAGTAACACCCCTTCCCCTAGCCAGTTACTTTGCTTTAGGTCTGGGTACCATTAGCAATTCTTAACTTACTGCAGAACTCCTGGTACTCTGCTGGGAGGATAAAGGTCTGAGGTAAGATATGGAACGTCTTGAATCCATGGGACAGCTGCATACGACTGACATTCTTGTAAAGTCTGTCCTTTCGTGTCAGTTCATATGACCTGAAGATCCAGAACAAGAAACTCGTTATTTTTTCCCCAGAATAAAAAATAACAAAACAAGAAACAAATAAAAAAACCCAGACACACTGCAACAGCCTATTACTAAAGCATCTGCATTTCTGTCATACGCCTCCACCTTAAATAACAGCTACTCTTCCGTTTTACTTTCTTTATTCTGTGGATGTATTAATAACCATTCTCATCCATAGTGCCTCTAGCTATGCTCAAAAGGGAATGAAGCAAATAGTTACAATGGTGTTTGTAAACTTGTTTGTAAATCAGTAGCGTATAACTCCAGCTAAGAACTCCAAGCTCCCAAACACTTTACTTTTCTCATCAGGTAGAGAGGATTGGGAAATAAATCAGTATTTGGGCTATGGACAAGCACTTAAAACTCACATATCTCACTCAAATTCCCAGAATGAAAACAGCACGTGGCACAAGTTCAGTCTGCTGGGATTTTAAAGTCTGACAAATACCTTTTTCTTAAAAAAAAAGAAAAAAAGAAAAAAGCTATGCTCGCATTACTACAAACCGTGACAAAGACATTCAACAAAATTTGTTATCAAGACCTTACCTGGGGAAATGATTCACTTTCTGAATATCTGTAAGGGAACGCAGCAAGTAGGGCTTCAAGTGTGATCCCGTCCACATGAGATTATAATCGCTGCTATTAGGGTGCACCTAAAAAAGAGCAACACAAGAAACTGACACATAAAAACCATGGAAATAGTGAGAACCACGACTGTTTGTCCTACAGACTATGTCTTTGCATCTGTGGGACCAGAGCAATTCCAGTTTAAGACAATTCCCTCTACGCACCTATAGTATAAGGTATTAGCCAGATTCTTGTCCTAAGCTACTATACACTGATGCTAGAAAATAAACATACCTTTTTTTTTTTTTTAAACATGCTTGTAATTCTGTTCTTTTTATAGACCATCTAAATCCAATTTATAAAGCACTTTAGATTTCTCCAGGAAACTTGGGAGATCAAATTTCCCAATTTTGCTTTATTCAGTAGAAAAACTACCATCCAAACGCTTGTCTCAAATCGTCATAAGCTGCAGACAGGACATTCTCTAGAGCAAGGCAGGTGCTAGGAGGCAAATATAAAACACTACAAGAACACCTATTAGCTTGTAAAGGCTGAGAGGCAAAACTCTTCAGATCTTCCTAAAGGTATGAGGCAGTGCTCTAAAGCAAGAGGAGAAACACACAACCTTGACATCCCTTTTCTCCCTAATTTTGCAGACCTCACAGCATATTTCCTATCTGACTGACAGAACACAAAAGGCAGTGGTAGAAAGGGGAAAAAAAAATAACATCACTGAGACATCTCTAGCTTCACAAGAATCTTCCTTATTATAACTTGACGTAGAAATAAATATATGTTCACACCCGTTCCAGAGCAGCACTCACCTCCTGGAATCCATGTGCAGTCAGTATGCTTCGGACGAGGCGGCTGTCTGTTCGTACAATCTTGTAGGACAAGTGATAACGCTCTTAACAGGGAAAAAGACACAATATTAGAGTCTGCACCTTGAAAAATTTAACTGAAGTTACCTACGCTAAAAAATAAAGAAGAGCACCATAGGGCTTAGTACAGCTGCACTTAATCTACAGTGTAGCATGCACACAGTAGCTGCACGTAGCAGGCAAAGAGTGGGGGAAATGCCTGTATATCTCGAGGCATTAACTCTACGGCATTGAAGTTATTTACATCTGTCCTCAGGTATAACACTGCTGTGTCACTGAACCCCACTGTACCAAATGAAACCCATGCTAACAAGTGCACAGATCTGTGTGTTGGGGTGAGGGGCTTTTTTTTGCTTTTTTTTTTTCCCTTTTCTTTTTTAAACAGCTCTTCACAAACTGCTTTATAACACTCCGAAGAATGATTCCTTCTCAACTGAAGATGGTATCCCCAGATGAAAGCACTCATGCTATCTACCCCTCATTGATGTGGCTAGATTTTAAGATCTAAGAAGTGGCCATATAAGACCAAAACAAAACACTACGAATCTTTGTTCATGTATCGTTAAACTGTGTTCATCTTCCAATACATAACTGGGGAAAAAAAGTAAGAAATAAGGCAAGTGTTAGGTGAAAAAAATAACTTAAATAGAAAAGTCATAAAAACAAACTCAGTAAGCAGCACTGGAGCATAAGATACACCAAAAGCTGTAGTACAAAACGATTTGTTAATCCGTAAATGAGTGCAAAGAAAGTAGAGGCAGAAATCACAGAACTAGAACAGAATCGCTTGAAAAAGGTATTCTACAAATGACTTCAAACCAGGAACAGGAAGATGAATGTTAGATAAAGCCTTTCTTTCTTTCTTCCCATTGTTAATTTTTTTCCTTTTTTTTTTTTTCTTTATTTTTTTAAACGATCTTTTTTACCAACTCGTTATCCTTCTAATTCTCTCCCCACAAACCTGGGAGCTGTGTGATACTCACCTGCTTAACAGGATTAAACTACAATTCTGGGACAAGATATGAAAATCATTTTATTATTTAGAAAATTATATTTTAAAAGTTATTTCACAATTTGTGTATTTAAATTTTCCATCCCACTTCATATTCCCATTAAAATAATAAGTCTTGTCTACTTTTTAGTGATGCAACCTTCATCTGAAGAACAAAATAAATTTTGCAAGAATTAAGAAAACTCCCCTGTGAGAAGGAAAAACATGAGGAATGATCAGAGATCCTTAAAACATCTATGCATATATAAGGGTTTGCTTCATTTATTCTATACTGATACTGGTAATGTTAAGGACTCATCATAAATACATATCTGTGAATAGCTATGTGAATGATTGACAGCTCATGAAGTTTGAATCTTCATCTACTAAGACTAGGACATCAAGACATATTTTGTAAATCAGACAGAAAGAAAAGCTTAAATGAGATTTTTTAGTGAAAGTGAAGGGCCTCAAGTTAAGTGGAAGACATTTCTATGAAATACAAAAAGGAAACAAGAGGTGTGACATGTAAGCATGGTATATGAAGACAAATTTCATATTCAGCAAAGTCCTTTTTTTTTTTTTTTTTTTTTTAAATTATGTAGATCCTTACTATTTATTGTACAATGTATAGCAAGCTGGGAAAAGGCAAAAAGCCTGGTAAGTTATTGCATAATATTCAACTGGAGGTTTTCATCAATATGCACAATTGGTCAGCCTAAATCCTGGTCTAAAGACAGAATTTCATACTGAGGTATGCACAGTAATAACTGCTTGAAACAATGCTGATCAGAGAAATAAAAACAAGTATTGGTATAGAAATCATTCAGTACTTAGAAATGTATCATATCAGGATATCATAAAAAAGAAAGGGCATTCTTTTCTAGAAAGCTGCTTTGTGTAACTAATTCTACTTAGGAAAGAGCTTTTAAACTTCCCCCCCCCCCCCCAGCAAAAAGAAAACTATGTAAAATATATTAGTGAACGGAATAAAACACTGTTTTTACAGTCTTTTCAACACTACTAGTTTTGATAACATTTCTTTTAGCTTTGGTCCTTCAGATGACCACATCCTAGTGAGATGTTATTTGTTGATGGTGTTCTTTCATTGATAAACTATATAAAATGAAAATTTTAGTAGCCTTGGTGTGGTAGTGGTATTTATAAATTGTTCAGAATATATTTAATTGTTCTTGTTAGAACTGCTGATGTCTAACATAAGCTTAAGCCTAATTCAAATTTAGCTAATCACATTTTAAATGATATCCTCTGTAGTGGCATTTGGCTCCTAGCAAAATCTAAGGCAGCAGAGTTTACGAATAGTTGGTCAAGAAATACTTTTTTTAGTTTCTTTGTTTTGTTTGTTTGTTTATTTTTTCCTCCTTGGAGAAACAACATCTGTTTATGACCACATTATGAAGCAAAATCAAGATATCTGCCTTCACTGCAAAAGGCAGATACAGAACTACATACTGTTGCGAGACTGGAACGATATTACTACTTAAAGCTTCACAGCTGGCAATATTAACTATTGAAAAGGCCAAAAAAAAAAAACAAAAAGTTGATATGAAGTCTGCCTCTATAGATTACAGTTTAGAATTTGCTTCAGAGAAGGATTTTTGAAGACATAATGACAGCTACAGGAAACAGGAAGGGATAAGGAGAGAATATATAAAAAATAATAGTGATATGGCTATGTGTGGATACTTTTCATTAACTGAAGCAGAATGTGATGTAGTAATAGTTTTAAATGTTATTTTTGCTTCTTTTTTTTT